TTAAAGAAATAAAGCTAGTGAAACAGGTCATTTGAGTAATGGAACAGGTGGGCTTGGACAGGTGTGTAGTATTGATTTTATTTTTTTATATATACCCAAGTTAATGTGTCATGACCCAGTGCTTTGGCCTTTGAACTTGAGTTTTTCTGTTTTGCACGTTTGAATCCAAGTCTGCGGTTCTTTGTTTGCTCAATGTTAGCACTACATTCTCGCATCTATTGCATATCATTGCTACTCTGGGGTAAGTATATCTACTGCATGACATCATGTTTTGTAAGGATGCCATGTGTCTGTATCATCTCTCTTCTGTTAGACCCTCTTACCCAAAGAAACATCAGCCAAATCATGTTTAATACCATCTGTTTCATTGGCTGGGCTGTGCTGGGCGCTTGCTGGCTCCTCTATTTTGAGCCATCAGTTTTTCATACTGTTTGTTTTCCCGAGTATTAATCGCCACACGTGGATCACTGGAGTTTCTTATTTTGCTGTTTGGAATTTTCACCAGATAGTTTTTTGTTACTTTGCCTGCAAGTCATATTTTGGGTCCAGATTTGCCACTAAACGTGACATAATGTCACTTTGAACATGCAGCTAATATCGGGGTTTTCTAAGATGGAGTCCACGCATGTTTGCCTGCAGGTATAAGGTCGCTGTTACCAAGCATAAGGATGTAGAGCAGACCAGCAGCAATCTGTACAATCAGAACAACATCTGGACTCCAGCTGTTGACTTCAGCAAGTACATTGAAGACAATGAAAGCATAGAAGACGAGGTATGTCTGATAAACTAAACACCAACACAATATAACAGCACTCAATTAATTTACTTAATCGTGATTTGTCTGCAGGACCTTGTTGCCTGGGTGACTACCGGATTCCTCCACATCCCTCATGCCGAGGATATCCCCAACACCGTAACGGTGGGCAATGGGGGTGGGGTCCTGCTGAGGCCCCACAACTACTTTGATGAGGATCCATCCATCCACTCTGCGGATTCGGTGTACTTTGAGCCAGGCAGCGAGGACAGCTGTGAGCACAACAGGATGGCTTGCCTCACTCGTGACACCTGCAGCCCCAACCTGGAGCCATTCAGCTACCATGGCTTTGATGGAGTCATGAATTTTAATGACTGGAACTGATTTTTATTTAATTTATTTTAATTTTTTTAATTTAATTTAAATTTTTTTGCATTATGTTGTGGAGCTTCTGAGGCCTGACAAACTCACACGTGCTTGGCCTTAAGTAATATTCATGAAGGCCATTAAAGCTGTTTCTAAAGGTAAAGGTGCACCAGGCAGCATTTTATATAATATTCATAATTTTTCTCTAAAGACACATTTAGTCACTTTTCTTTACACATCTACCAGGAGTTAGACCTGACCACCCAGTTTATGTCATGTTTTTCAAATGTATTGAAAAGAGTTTTGCACAACCTTCATTCATTGCAGTTTGCATTTGGTTGCAGCTTGCATCATGCAAAACGGTGATGAAACATAAGAGACTATCCTGTTAGGCTGTAATAGGCCTTTGCATGTACAGTAGATCACGTGTCCTATACAGTAAGACCAGTGTCTATACTCTATATCCAATTA